ACAACAAGTAAATTTTTTACAAGACGAAGTTAAGCGCCTAAAGAAACCACCATCGAACCGATCGTCTGGCACATCGCGTAGTCCTGGAAACATTCAAGGTATGACAGAATCCAACTCTGAGTTATGATGCTACTATCATCAACGTTTTGGTACCAACGCCAGAAAGTGCAGGATTTCTTGCTCGTTCAACCAGACTTTAAACTAACACGACTATCGTCAAATACGCTGGTTGACGACAGCGACGACATCACCAGCGAATTTCAAAATACTGCAATCCAACTATTAGATCACGGACTATACATTCGCGATAAGAAATCAGGAATTCGTTACCTTATAAACTCTGGGTCCGTGGTCTCTGTTTTACCTTGCTCACTAGTGAAACAGAAGATCAAGCCAAGCAATTTGCTATTGCTTGCAGCCAACCAAACCATGATCAGGACTTACGGTAATATAGTTAAAACACTTGATTTAGACCTTCAGGACAGCTTCACTTCGAATTTCATCATAGCCGACGTTCCATCTGCAATAATTGGTGCCGATTTCCTGACCAATTTTCAACTGCTGGGGAAAAACTCGCCGCTGCTAAGGCAGATGTAAACTTTGTATTAGAGAATGGAATTTGTCGCCCTTCCAATAGCCCTTGGTCCAGCCCACTTCATATGGTAGCCAAGAAAGACGGAGGCTGGCGTGCATGTGGTGATTACCGGAAACTGAACACATCCACAATACCAGACCGATATCCGATAGCTAACCTGCAAGATTTCACCGAGCAACTGCATGGAAAAAGCATATTTACCACTTTAGATTTGGTAAAAGCCTATTACAATCAGAGGTACGTTTTCTCAGCTATGTCATTAATAGTGATGGGATTAAACCACCAAGGGATCGCGTTGACGCCATTCAGAACCACCCTCGCCCAGACACTATCAACCAGCTCGGAAGGTTCTTGGGCATCGTTAATTATTATCGTTGATGCATTCCGCATCCCTCGCATATACAAGCACCTTTATCAGAGCCACTAAAAAATGTAAGGAAAAATGATCACCGCAAAATCATATGGACTCCTGAACTTATTTCGTCCTTCGAAGAATGCAAAAAGAGTGTAGCCGAAGCTGCAGTCATTTCTTTTCCTTCGCCAGGATCTGCACTTGCATTGGTGTGTGATGCTTCCGACATGGCAATAGGAGCCGTACTAGAGCAGTTCACAAATGATTGGGATTCTTGGGATTCTTCTCGAAAAAGTTAAGTTCTACAGAGAAAAACTACAGCACCTATGACAGGGAATTATTGGCCATTTACGAAGCTGTGAAATATTTTAACCATTTGATCGAAGCGCGTTATTTTATAATTAAGACGGAATACGAGGGTGGTCCGATAAGTACTTAGCCTCCAAAAGAAAAACGAAAATTTTGGAAAAATGGCTTTTTATTTCTCAACATAATCTCCTTTTAGCTCGATACACTTGACCCAGCGATGCTCCAACTTCTTTAACCCGTCTGAAAAATAAGTTTTCTCGAGGTCTGCAAAATAGGCCTCTGTGGCGGCGACGACCTCCTCATTCGACGCAAATTTTTGTCCAGCGAGAGACTTTTTCAAGTTTGGAAACAAAAAGAAGTCACACGGGGCCAAATCTGGAGAATATGGTGGATGGGGTAGCAGTTCGTAGCCCAATTCGACCAATTTGGCCTTGGCGAGGGCGGAAGTGTGAGCCGGTGCGTTGTCATGATGGAAGAGCACTTTTTTCTTCGCCAAGTGTGGCCGTATTTTCTGCAATTCGGCGGCGAATCGGCCCAATAATTCGGCATAGTACAGCCCTGTGATCGTTTTGCCCTTCTCTAGGTAGTCGATGTAGATCACACCTTGTGAATCCCAAAAAACGGTGGCCATCACCTTTCCGGCCGATGGGACAGTCTTCGCCTTCTTCGGAGCAGGTTGGCCGGGTGAAGTCCACTGTTTCGACTGTTCCTTGGTCTCTGGTGTGTACCAGTGGATCCATGTTTCGTCGACGGTCACGAAACGACGCAGAAACTCCTTCGGATTGCGCTTAAACAGCGTCAAACACTGCTTTGAAGTGGTCTCACGGTTGCGTTTGTTGTCCGGAGTGAGCAATCGCGGCACCCATCGCGCCGACAGCTTTCTCATGCCCAAAATTTCATGCAGGATATGACCCACGCGGTCTTTTGACATGCGTACTGTCTCAGCTATCTCGCGTATCTTCAATCGGCGGTCTGCCAAAACGAGATCGTGGACTTTTTGGACGTTATCCTCCTAGGCACCTGGGCGAGGCTCATCAAAAACCGACGTGCGACCACGTTGAAACTATTTAAACCAATTTTTGACGGTCGCCAAAAAAAAAGGAATCGAATCACAGACCGATATTGCTCTTTCTCCATTTTTCTAAAATCCGCGAACACGTATGATGCCACACGCTGGCAAAACAAAGCTACGAGTCCGATTCGGCTGAAATTTCGACAGTAGCCGTCTACTAGAATGTACTACACGATAGAAAAGTTTTCTTGCGATAGTGGCGCCATCGGGCGGTGAGGCTAAGTACTTATCGGACCACCCTCGTACAAGCCCCTCATTTATGCTTTCAAACAGCGTCCGGAAAAAGCATCACCTCGACCAATTCGCCATCTCAGCTTTATATCCCAATTTTCTACAACCATTGTTCATATAAAGGGCGCTGACAATGCAGTAGCAGATGTTCTTTCGAGGTTGTGGGCTATCTCAATGCCGGTATCTGTGACTACAGCTGAGATAGAGGAGTCGCAGGCGTCAGACCAGGAGTTGGCAGGACTTCTTCAAGGAAACACCTCATTAAAGCTGCAGAGGACTAGTTTTGACAACAATGTTTGGATATACTGTGACATATCGGGCTCTTCGTGAACAAGTCTTTGCCTACATTCACAACTTATCAAATCCAAGCGGCAGAGCAACGTCGCAGCAAATTCGTCAAAAATTTGTCTGGCCTGGTGACTACCTGGTGCAGAAACTGTATAGCTTGTCAACGTTCCAAAATCAGCAAGCACAACCACCTGATTCCTGAAAAGAAACACGTTTCAAGCGGAAGATTCGATCATGTACATCTGGACATAGTAATAATGCCGGCATATCAGAATTTCCGCTATTGTCTCACAATGATCGATCGCTTCTCACGTTGGCCTGAAGCTATACCATTGACCAACATTACCGCAGAAACGATTGCCACCGCCTTTTAGACCCACTTGGATTGCACGATCAGGAAACCCAGTTTGAGGCTGCACTATTTAAGGAACTCGCCAAGTTTCTCGGAAGTCAATATATTCATACCACGGCCTATCATCCCCAATCCAATGGACTTGTAGAAAGATGGCATCGATCTTTCAAGTCAGCATTGATGTGCAGCACTGGTATTCCGTGGATCAAAGTACTTCCGTCAGCGCTCCTCGGAATACGCACGTGTTTCAAGGAAGATATAAAGTCATCCGCCGCAAAAATGTTATATGGAGTTCCTTTACGTCTTCCAAATGAATCCTTTAACGACACGGAGCCTAATCCTTAGACCTTTATATTCACGTTCAGAGAACAAATGCGTCTCGTGCAACCTTCTCCAACAAACCATCATATTAAAAGAAGCTGTTTAAACTAAAAGGGATTGATCAGTGCTCGCATGTATTCATCCGTACAGATGCAGTAAAACAACCTTTGGAAGCGCCTTATACCGCTCCATATGAAGTTTTAAGACGACACACGGATAATGTATTTATTTTGAAAGTTAACAACAAAGAGACGGCTGTATCTGCGGATCGACTAAAACCAGCCCACATAGTTGTTGATGATCGCACCATGGATTCAGCTAATGTAAGAGTGGTGCGCACTTATTCGAGACAGCAGAATCCAATCTTGACGTCCTCACATTATCCCTTTAGCAGACATTTGCAAAACTAAGCTATCGGAAAACCAACGAGTTAGCAGTAGGTTATAGGAAGACCATCGCTAACTCTCACTCGTTCGACAGTCGAGGAATTTGTCAGCCACGCTTTTATTTCGTTTGACAAAAAGAATAAAGTTTTCATACATATGCAAATAACATTTTTGATGTGCCAAATGTTCAACACTGCTGTTGATGCTGGAAAAAGCTGCCAGATCTAAAAGAACTCAAATAGATTATTTTAACTTATTATACCCGTTACTCGTAGAGTAAAAGGGTATACTAGATTTGTGCAAAAGTATGTAACAGCTAGAAGGAAGCGTTTCCGACCCCATAAAGTATATATATTCTTGATCAGGGTCCCTAGCCGAGTCGATCTAGCCATGTCCGTCTGTCCGTCTGTCTGTCTGTCCGTCTGTCCGTCTGTCCGTCTGTCCGTCTGTCCGTCTGTATGAACGCTGAGATCTCAGGAACTACAAAAGCTAGAAGGTTGAGATTTCCCACACATATTCTTTGGCTTCCTACGCAGCGCAAGTTTATTTTAGCCGAGCGCCACGCCCCCTCTAACGCCCACAATCGCCCACTAACGATTTTAAAATGGGTCCTGCGCCCACATCTTTAAAGATTTCCGAGAAGTATAAATGCAATTTTGTTGTGTATATTTATACCTATCGAAATGTAGAAGACATTTTTCAAATCGGACCATTCATTAAAAAGTTATACGCAATCAAAAATTATATATCTATCTCCCTCGCACTCCCTTTAGCTGAGTTACGATTATTAGTCGGGACACCAACCCGACACAGCGTTCGCACTCCTATTAGCTGAGTGACGGGTATTAGATAGTCGGGACAACAACCCGACTATAGCGTTCTCTCTTGTTTTTTTATGGCACCCTCTGGTGACTCTTATTTCCAATATGTTAATGCAAAATCAAAATTATTTGAAATGGGCTGAGCGAAAAACATACAAAAAGGCATATTTATATTAATGTTGCTAAGCTGATTAGCGGGTATTTAATAGTCGATGCATTCGACTATAAAGTTCTCTCTTGCTATTTTACCCTTCATTCAATTTGTCATTACAGATTCCCATTGTCGGCAGCACTATGATGGCCCAAAAATGCATTGACCGTCCCTATGGTGGACCTCTAGTGTATCGCTTGCTGGAGAACTTAGGCTTCGTTCTTACCACCACAGTTATTGTAATCATTTCTGTCTGGGGTAAGTAAAAAATCACACTACACTGTGATAAAACAAAAACACCTCTTAAAGAGTTAAAGGGTAGTGACGATCGTACCATCAACATACCAAAGTTCTGATATCAAATTTTGTGACGAAAAGTCCTTGTACAATCGACTAAATAAATATATTTTATAAAATATTTTTATTCGGTCCGCTTCAGTAAATTTTAATTTCAAAAGCAGATTATATTTAGTTTCAGTTTTAAAAAGAAATCTTTATAGCCGTTTTTAAGAAAACAGCAAAAAAGTAATTTCTAAAAATAACTTTTGGCCATAAATTTGAATTTATTTAGCCAATTTTAACAAAGGCAACGTGATTAGCATATTAAATTACCTTTTCAACGGGGTATTGCACGAGTCGGTTTGATTTTCTTAAAGTGTCTTGTCTGCATAGTAAATTTCTTTGAAATTTGGGGAAATGTGATAGTTCAAAGAACCTTTTAGCTTTAACTGCTATTTGGTCTAAGTTAATTAAAAATGGACGGGAATTAAGTTAAAACGAACTAAAATTTATTAAAATTTATGAAATAGTTTCTAAAAGTTTGAAGTACATTTTGTGTGAGTTTTATTTACTTTTAAAAGTGTCCCAACTTACATACCTTTTTTTCAAAAAGACGTTTTTTAGGAATTTTCAAAAAAAAAAATTTTTTTTTTTTTACTAAGGAAAACAAATATTTTTTGCTGTTTTTTTTAAAGCTAATAGACTAACCTTTCGATTAGTACCAAATGCGTGAAGTTTCATAAGTGAATGTCGAAATGGAACATCGAAAACAAAAGGTGTACCAATCTACAGACCCCTATTATTTTATAAACGACTACAAAAATGAAATATGTTTCATAAAGATCGGTAAGCATTTGTTACGTGGGCATATTAGTGCCCTGGTCCTGAAAAGGACTTGGGCCGAGGGAAAGTCATCCGATTTTCAGGCACCAATTTTTTCCGGCATAAGCTCGCCGGATGGTGTGGGTTCTTGGTAAGACTTTCTCCTCTCCAATATAACGAGAATAAATATTAAGATGCCTGAAAAATAGTAAGAGACGTAACGATCGTCGGTCATCAGTCTACATTGCCCCACAAGCTAAGCTTGATCGTAACACGATTCGTGTGCCAAATGGATCGTTGCGGGCCGCGCAATACGATCCCCTATTGCCAAGGTTGTCCCTTTTTGAAAACTTAGCAAGTCATGGTTTTAAGTTCGTATTCACATTATAATTTTATTGGATAAAATATTGGCTAGTGCCATTTATGAGTAATAGGGGAGAGGTCTGTAGGTTGGGACGGTCTGTAAGTTGATACATTCAATTTTCTCAAAACTTTTTCACTAAAAAAATTGTTTTTATTTTTTTTTTGTTTTCCTTTTTAGTGACAAAACTTTTGGGGAAAACATTATAAGCCAGGCTCTAGCCAGATTTTAGCTGTGAGAGTCGTGTACCATTTCTCACCAAAAAAGTTTTTGTCCACATTTTTCCAAATTCCATTAAAAATTAATTACCTGCTTAAATTAACTTGGTAAGAAATTTAAAACATTAGTAATTTAACTGTTGATAAATTAAAAAAAGAATCAGGTTGATATGACAGTCAGAAAAAAAGTTACTAATTTTTTTCCGAAACATCCCATTTTGTGTAAGCTGGGACACTTTGAGCGTGTAAGTTGAGACACCCGTTTTTCGTACAAAAAGGCCTTAGCCCGACAGAGGTCGCTTTCTGCCTAGTACATTAGGGTAAAAGTGTATGTTCAATGAGCCTTTTGGTTTTAATTGTTATTTGGTCTAAATTCTTGAAAAATGGATGGGAAATAATTTAAGACGAACTTAAATTGATTAAATTAACATAAATAAATAGTTTTTAAAAGTTTGGAGTACTTTTGGTGTGAGTATTATTGACCTTTAAAAGTGTCCCAACTTACGGACCTCTTTTTCAAAATGTCGTTTTTTGACACTTTTATAAAACAAATTATTTTTTAGTTTTTCCTAAGGAAAGAAAATTTTTTTTCGGTTTTTTTAAAGCCAATAGACTGAAGTTTCATAAGTGAACGTCGAAATGGCAGATTAAAAACAAAAGGTGTACCACCTACAGACCTCTCCCCTACACACAAAGAAAAAACTTGGTAAAATCAACTGTAATAATTGTCAAACAGGCCCCAACCAGCAAAATTGTCAATTCTACTAAGTAAATAGTCATTTCACAACAACAAAATACACACAATTAGCAAAGACACAAACCCAAAGCAAAAACAAAATACACGTAACTATTTTAATAGTTACGTAACTATCTTTGTTGGTCAATTTTACCAAGCAAATTTTTTTGTGTGTATTATTATTAGGAATACATATGAATTTAATTTTAGTTGACCAACAAAGTTTATTAGCGGAGAGTATCGAATTTATCACCCGTACAAGGTGCACACGTCAGCAAATTGCTGACTATTCACGACTACAAACGTTTTTGTTCATACAAACACAAGGCTGATACTCGCCGCTGAAAAGTCAATGTTTATTTTATTATAAAAAGTTAACTTATGTAAAGAGATAATTAAAAATAGTTAGATAATTAGGGTGTTCAATTGCGTTGCAAACTTTGTAAAGTGTAAAATTGTAAATCAATTCCAACAACAATTTCTATACACACAAAAAAATTTGCTTGGTAAAATTGACCAACAAAGATAGTTACGTAACTATTAAAATAGTTACGTGTATTTTGTTTTTGCTTTGGGTTTGTGTCTTTGCTAATTGTGTGTATTTTGTTGTTGTGAAATGACAATTTACTTAGGGCCGGTTTCTCGAGTCCCTGTATCTGTTCGAAAAACTTAAATACCAGATAAACTGTTCGTAAAAGCAAATCCGCTTTCTCGACTACTTTAATTTATCTGAACGAGAAACAATTACAGAGTGCTGTTAACGCACAGAATTGTGCTGTGAAGCGCAAAAAATGGCGTGCTTCGATTATTTCATCAGCTGTTTGGGTATAATTCAAAGGAAAAGTCAGCTGTGATTTCGTTTCTTCTTTTTAGTTGGCTTTGGGAAATCAGCTGTCATTCTATAGGAATCTTTTGTTCTACGACTTTTGGAAAAAGCCGCTACTTTAGCGGGAAAAAGCTAAAAATAGCTACATTTCCTTAGTTTGTAAGTTCTACACTACTAAAGGTACAGACATGTGCTATACTTCGTTTAAAAGGTATTTTGAAATACTTCAACGCCTTTTAAACTTAGTTCGTTAAAATACAATAGTTTAAAAATTATGATTTATGACCAATTTAAAATTAAATGTTTATATTAGCACCTATGAGAGCAGACGTAAACAAACAAAAACGTCTGATATCAAATAAAAACACCTCTTAACGAGGTAAAAAACTAGTGACGATCGCACCTTCAACGTACAAAAGTTCTGATATCAACTTTTGTGACGAAAAATGATTTTAGATGCGACTAAATAAGTACGCTACCTAAAATGTATTCTTTCGGCACGCTACAACAGAAAACTTTCGTGTAGATATTAAAAATTTTTTAAAGCGGGCCGAACGAGTAAATTTTAGGTAGCGTACTTATTTAGTCGCACCTAAAATCATTTTTCGTCACAAATGTTGATATCAGAACTTTTGTACGTTGAAGGTGCAATCGTCACTAGTTTTTTACCTCGTTAAGAGGTGTTTTTATTTGATTATTAATATTTCCTAAACAAAAAAGACAAAAAAAAGGATAAAAACAAGAAAGAAAGCTAGCTTCGGCCAGCCGACGCTTATATACCCTTGCAGATCGTTCCTATTAACTTACAAATCGCAAAAATTTTAAATTTCGTATTTTTTTAATATTATTTATTTATTATTAAGAGTCATGTCCTAAAGTAGAACAGAATACAATAAAAACCAAAAAAGGTAAAATTTATTTCCTATTACTTTCCCATTCATTTTCCGATCGTTCCTATGGCAGCTATATGATATAGTCGTCCGATTTTTTAAATATTTTATTCGAAACTCGGAAATATTTAAAAAATAATATTTCCAAGAGTAGAAGATTTTATTTCAAAAAACACCGAAGCTAGAATTTTTTTAACGTTTCCTTTCTATGGGAGCTATAAGATCTAGTTGTCCGATCCGGTTGGTTCCGACTTATATACTACCTACAATAGAAAGAAGACTTTTGGGAAAGTTTCATCGCGATAGCTTTGAAATTGAGAGACTAGTTTGCGTAGAAACGGACAGACAGACGGACGGACAGACGGACAGACGGACATGGCTAGATCGACTCGTCTAGTGATGCTGATCAAGAATATATATACTTTATGGGGTCGGATACTTCTCCTTCACTGCGTTGCAAACTTCTGACTGAAATCATAATACCCTCGGCAAGGGTATAATCTCTAAAGATTATAAAATGAAAGACCGATTTTTAGGGGGATACGACCACAGCCTAAACCATAAGAGCTAGAGCAGCTAAATTTTTTCACAGTATTCCATTGGGGGCGTAGGCGCCCACTAAGGTCCGACATGTCCCCCCAGTGGCCCCAAACAGCTCCAATATTTATATTTAGAGCAAAAAATCATTAGATTTACTTAAGCTTAGCTTCTAAAGTGGTTGGAATTTCGAAATTTTGATTTTGCAGAATTTTAGGTCTTGAAAGGGCCTAATTAGAAATCTAAAAGAAATTTCGATACCCCCCATAATTTGGGGGCTACATTTAAAATTAACTTTTCTATTTAAAAAATCTAAACCGCTGCTCCGATCATGATTTGATGATGATTTTTTGATAAATGGTTATTCTATGGCCCAAATGCTTAAGTTTAATTTTTTAAATTTTTAACATTTTTTTAAAGTATTTTTACCGAATTTATTTAGATTTCCTAAGTTATTGCGTTGCATTTCGTGGGAGCCCGCCAAAAGAGCGAAACCCAGAGAGCGGATGGCAAGAGAGCGAAGGCCGAGAGAGCAGCTGCAAAATAAACTGTCGATGGGGTGTGGTAGTGCTGTGGGGAAGGGGAAGGG